CATAAATGCAAAACCTCCATAAATGCAACGCAGCGCTCGGTCCCGAGGTGTTGCATTTATGGAGGTGTTACTGTACTGTTATTTTCCGCGCAAAGATCTACATAGAAAATTACGACAAATGGTTAAGGCGAACATTAAATTAGGCAAGAAACAGTTTGCTGGACAAATAAGCATCAGAGAAAAACCAAAGAAAGTTAGTAAGATCACAGACGATATAGCGATGAAAATGTATCTTTTTATGTTAATACATTCCATTGACAACGTACTTTCTTAGTTTTATTTGATAACGAACATTTTATTGTCGCACATAGGCATACTGTAAAGTATTCTTTTTAGATTGATTCCCTAATGTACCCTCGGTACAGTACTTTACCCACTAGTATACATAGGCAGGCTCGATAAGTCAGTCACGACTTATCGAATCACGTGACTAATTTATTTTTAAAATTATCTTCGTTACGGGTACAGTATACAAACACGAAGTGCAATAAGGATGTAGGTTACATTATACTAATACAATCAGATGTTGGTTTTAGAATACAATTTATATTAGCGTTACAGTATAATTAACAATATGTAAAAATCGACTGTACAATCCCCTCTACTCATCTTGGTAGTCTTTACCTCAGGTACATTAGTAAAACCTTTCTCTACAACAGTTTGAAGTTGAATAATACAAGGGCTGCTTCGAAATTCAAAACCCAAATATTGTGCAATACTTTGCATCACACTTCTGTAAGATTCCATATCAGCAATACCAACAATTTTTATTTAGAAGTAATGAGCCCGGCAAAGTTTTTTGCCAGAAGTCATTCAACAGTGAATACGAGACTTTTACTTTACTTAAACCGAGCAATAGTTTTGATCCTCTTGTGCCTGCTCCTATACTAAACGCTCAACTAGTCTCTCATACAAGACATATACCTATATGATGAAGTTTGAAGGTTTGTAGACGATCCATATAGAGATATAACTTTAACTTGTTGTTGAGGTTATCGTCTCATGCCAATTTGGGGGTTATCGAGAGGGGGTCATTGCTGTCAAAAAACTCCCCAAATATTTACATCCAATGATAGATCAGGGGCTGGGAGTTCGTCATACACGTTGTCATCTGACAGCGGAGGTTAGGTTACCCGCCAACGTTTGGCGGTGTTTCATTTGTGTCAATGTTAACAATGTCTAATAATTCGCACAAAAAATGGCTAGAGGCAAGCATTCAAGAAGGATCAATATATTGCTGTCCAGAAAATGATATAAAACTGGACCCTATACCTATTGGCAGTGGAGGATTTGGAGCGGTGTATAAGGCAACGATAAAGCAGGAAAACGGCATTACCACGACTATCTCAAGCAAAAGGCACAACATTTTCCCTGGCATGACCGTTGCAGTAAAGATATTGCATCTCGCTAAACCTGAGGCTTGTGAAGACTTACATCATCGACTAGTCAAAGAGGTTGCTATTACTTTTCATAATGCTTGCCACGCCATTCATATTTCGTTATAGACTAACTGAATGTCATTACATTAGCTAAAAAACCACAATGAAGCGAATAATCATCCCAACATTATTCGTTTTCTAGGCGTATATAAAGGTATATTCAATTGATGATAATTTCCTTGACTCAATTACCAAATAACAGTTTCTTATTTATTTCAACGCATACAGACCATTATGATAACTATCATATGATTTTTGAACTGGCTGACGGTGGAACTTTACGTGAACACTTAGAGAAATACTTCAAAGATTTAACTTGGAAAGACAAATACAAACTGGGCTTAGACATTACCAGTGGTCTAAAACATTTGCATGAACTTGATATTATTCACAAAGATTTGGTAATTATTGCACATGTTGATTGTATCGATTGAACTTACATTCACCCTTCAACTGACGGCGTACGTTATTTCTCTAGTCATCGAGCAACATTCTTCTCAAATCAGGCGTTGCAAAGATAAGTGGTTTCGGGTTATCTAGTACGTTGAAACAAGCGATGTCCAAATCACGCGGATATGGTGCACCCGCATACAGAGATCCGGTATCTTTAAAGATCAAGTCGTATCGACATGAAAAAGAATCTGATATATTTAGCCTCGGAGTAATACTGTGGGAAATATCTAGCGGAAAAGTTCCGTGCGAAGGACGTAATGAAGCTGTCGACATCATTATGTATAGACTTGAAGGCACCCGTGATCCCCCATTTTCTGGAACGCCTGAAGATTATATTAACCTGTATTCAGAATGTTGGGATGAAGACCCCAGTAAACGGCCCTCTTGCGCAAATGTTTATGAGAGGTTGAAGTATTTTGATCGAGCGAATGAGCTTAATAAGTTGTTGGAGATCGGACCAAACAATTCACTAAGACCTCGTGATTCGACTACTGGCAACAAATTTTTGGATTCATTTATTATGGAATCACGGAGTAATACAATGGATGATATACAATGGATAGAGTATTCTCAGTTGACTGACATACAAGAGATGGCACTAGTACTAATTCCAAATTTATATCGGCTGATTGAATTATGTGCTGACGAAAGTGACATGGGTTTAGGTATGCGAAACTAGACGAATATAACGTTACAAGCAAAGAAACTCATCATGTAAATGCATAAGGATTAAAAAATAGCTATTTTTTTTTTAGTTCACAAGGCTGTCATACATCCTACTGATTTAGAGAAAGTCTGCAAATCGTTGGCCCAGGGAAGCTATCGCTCCATTTCTGATATACGATTTGCAAAACTAGCAAAAGTCAAAATTCGACTTGTTGGTTGTTATGGGAATCGTGAGCTTATCTTTAAATTATTGTTGCAAAACAATGTTATTGACAAGCATAGGTTGGTGGTGTTTTTAAAGTATTTATTACTTTTGTTACATTGTTTTTATGTAAACAAACTCTATTGTGCAGATACGAGGAATTTATCGATGCCGAACGGAAACCCGATTCAGTTCGCAGTTTAAAGCCAACATTGGCTGCTGGACTTTACCTACTAAAGATTAAGTCAGATTTGGGTCTTGTAATACTATGGCCGGAAAAGGGTTTCTATACTGAAAAGGATGCAATTGACAAACAAAAAGACGCAACAAATCTTCACCGGTAAATAATAAAAATTAATTTATCAATAGTTAACAGATATGAGTACTCATTAAATTATTTCACAGATTTCTCACCAGATTGACAGACCATCAAATCTGCTTACTGAGCGAAAATGACGTAGAGAACTTTGTCTGGTCCACAGAAGAGCAAAC